CAGTAAAGAGTCGATGATTGATAACCGATGATCTTTTACTGATAACATGTGACATAATGAGAATGCGCGTGAATAAATGCGTGAATGTGAACAAATGCGGTAAAACTGAAATACAAACAGAATAACAAACATAAGTACATATCTAACTTCCTAGCTATGTGCATAACATTCCACAGTACATAGGAAGGGTACTTACAGACTTTGGGGGTCTAATCAAGCCCATATATGAAGAGGGAACAGCATCCCACATGTACTTGCATTGTAGAATTTCTTCAGTCTGAAGAGATGAGGTCACTCACTTCCTCCCAAGTTAGCAGACAGGAAGTCTCAGGCCTTAAGGGGACAGACACTGCTGAATGCTAAAGAATGCCTTGTGTAATACAAGGCAGCACAGGTATCTTACCGCATCCGAGTATGTGGTAGGATACCGCATAGTATTTTTAAAAAAAAAAACGTTTGAATTCACCAAAAAAAGGCTACTAAAATATCGCATGAATTATTTTATCAAGGCATGCAGTATTTTAGTAATGAAACCATGCGATAATGTTTCAGCTGTCAGCGGGGTTCCCCACAGACAGTTGAAATGTAAAATAAAGAATTGTCAGCAATTGTAAAAATAATTTTAAAAATGGCGTGGGTTCCCCCCTCCATCCATACCAAGCCCTTCGGGTCTGGTATGGATTTTGAGGGGAACTCCCACGCCAAAATTGAAAAAAAAATGGCCTGGGGTCCCCCTCAAAATCCATACAGGACCCTTATCCGAGCATGCAGCTGGGCAGGTCAGGAAAGGGGGGGTGATGAGTGAGCGCCCCCCCCCCCCTCCTGAACCATACCAGGTCACATGCCCTCAACATGGAGGGGTGCTTTGGGGTGGGGGGGCTCTCCCCCAGAACACCTTGTCTCCATGTGGATGGGGACAAGGGCCTCTTCCCCACAACCCTGGCCCGTGGTTGTGGGGTCTGTGGGTGGGGGCTTATTGGAATCTGAAAGCCCCCTTTAGCAAGGGGGCCCTCAGATCTGGCCCCCCCCCCATGTGAATGAGTATGGGATACATGGTACCGCTATCCATTTACAAAAAAAAAGTTAGCGTGAAAAAAGACAGAAGACAGTCTTTGACAAGTCCTTTATTAAAGGAAGGAAAATAAGAGACTGTCTCCTGTCTTTTTTTTCACACTACACTTTTTTTTTGTGAATGGGTAGAGGTACCATGTACCCCATACTCATTCACATGTGGTAGGGGCTGGGATCTGGGGGCCCGCTTGCTAAAGGGGGCTTCCAGATTCCAATAAGCCCCCTGCCCGCAGGCCCCCACAACCACAGGAACCCCCAAAGCACCCCCCCATGTTGAGGGCATGTGGCCTGGTATAGTTCAGGGGGGGTGCTCGCTTGTCCCCTCCCCTTTCCTGACCTGCCTGGCTGCATGCTCTGATGAGGGTCTGGTATGGATCTTGGGGGGGGGGCCACAACATTTTTTTTTTTAATTGTGGCGTGGGGGTTCCCCTAAAAACCCATACCAAACCCAAACGGCTTGGTATGAATGGAGGGGGGACCCCACGACATTGTTTTATTATTTTTTTTCTAATTATTTATTAATACAATTTCTATGCAGCTGACCTGAAATATGTAGGCGGGGTGTTGTGTGGGTGGGTGTGGCTTGAGTGTAGGCGGAGACACAGGGGGACCCCATTATCTCTTATTTCCCGGGGGCCCCATGAGTTGTCAGTTCGCCCCTGGGTATTAGTTAAGTAACAATAAGATACCTCTAAAAATGTCACAAAAATTCTTTCTTGAAAAATATTATTTACATGCAGCCTCTGCAGGTGATGTCACCACTAAAATTCTGGCAGTAAAATTGAGAGTTGGGGCTGGAGCAAGGGGCATATTAACCACAAGTCAAACAAGGCAGTTGCCTAGGGCGGCATTTTTCAGGTGGGGCAGCGCTGCTCCCTAGAAGAAGAGATGGAAGAAGGGACACACACGGCATGGGGACCAGGTTGGAACCGAGAGAGACTGCGGACTGTTTGACGATGTATGTAGAGCCCAACTCTTGTTCCCGGGGGTGGCCGGAGCTGTGAAAGTGGGTGTCTTCTTTCTCTTGCTGGGAGGTTGGGCGCCTGGTGTATGGGGGGGGGTGATGGTAGTGGAAGGCTCTCCTGGGTAGGGGGACAGGGGTGTTTTTGGTCAATGTCAGTCTCTCGCCACGTGGGAAAGGAGGGGGGAATTGGTCAGTGTCAAGCTCTGCCTCTCCCTCTGCGGGGGAGGGGGGTGGCCAATTTTTGTGTGTGCCTAGGACAGTACAAAATCTGGGGCGTCTGTGCATGGTAGCCAATCAGCTTCTAACCTCAACTTGTTTAATTACAATTTGGCAATAAATCTGGAAGCTGATTGGTTTCTATGCAGAGCTTCATCAGGTTTAGTAATCCCTAGTTTTAGTAAATCAACCCCATTGCATGACTTGCCGTGCAGCTACTCCATTTAGGAAAAAGTCTTTCACTCTTTTCAAAGGATACAAGGAGTTCTGTGATTGCCCAGTGCATATGAACATCGCAATCGCATGTTGGTTTCAGTTGCCATATACATGGACACTCATAGCGATGCCTGTTCCTGGCCCTGTTTTGTTAGTGGAACTGGAGACAAAGGGGAGCAGGTGACAGAAGAAGGTGACAGGGATAAAATAGGATGAATATCTACTTATATTTTTTTATTAAAAAAACCTCTTTAAGTGTATGATAAGGGCAAATTTTCACCATATGACAGAACCAAGGACTAACTTGGCTATAGGGCTCGCTTTATGCAGACCTTCAAACTTATTTAAAGTGGTTCTAAACCTCTGACATGAAATATAAACATAACATATCCTTCTATAGTGTGTACTTGTCTCGATCCAGAGCACTAAGTGTTATTTCTCTCCACTGCCTTGGTCCTCTGCTGTCAGCTTGAATCACTTCCTGGCAAGTTTTCCTGACACCAAGAGATACAAAATTGACAGGGGAGGGAGCTCCAATACACAGCATGTGATTGACAGTCTCAGCATTGTTCCTGTGTGCTGTGTAAAAGGGGGTGTGTGGTCCTTCCCTCCAATCAGCTCTCACTGAGCTTTCCAGAGTATAACTTCAGGTCTCTGTCCGCTGCTTCCCGAAAGCTCAGACATGCTGTATACATTCTGGACTTTGAATGGCTGTATTTTAGTGAAGGCTGCAGATAAACAGGTACAACATCTGTAGGAGGATTTGTTTAATCTCTGTGTATCAACTGAGGCCAGTCACTTCACTGGGTATATGTATGGGTTTACAGCCACTTTAACACTGTGAGGCCTAACCTTAAAGTGTTACTAAACCCCAGGACCCTGCATTCACTAAATCTGGTCTCACACAGTACACATAACATGGAAATGCAATAATTTTAGTAAATATAAACTGCTAAATACCTTTTCTCATCAGCAGTTAGAGCAGTCTTGTGACTTCTATCAGTGTCCAACAGAGAACTGGTTACAGCTTCTAGAAAGAGTTTTCATTCTCCTGTAGGAGGATACAGGACCTCTGACCTCTGTCTGGACATGCTGATTGACTCTGTGCTGATCACATGCACTCTCCCAAGAAAGAAAAAACTCTGTAGCAATGCACGCCAAACTGAGCATGTTCAGAGTGTCTCCACAGATATGTCTTATCAGGAGATAAGAGGGGGACACTGGAAGAAGGGGAGGATCAGACAGCATTTTTACACAAGGCAGAGGATTGACCCCTTAGGTTCCACAGTGAGTATAACAGTCATGCTGTAATGAACCACACTTCCTTCTGTGACCCTGCACTGGTGTCTGTAGAAAATACTCACCAGAAATATCCGACATTCAATCTAAAAGGTCTAAAGCACTTGACATGTACTACATTTTGCTCTCAATATTAACACACACATAAACCAGGTAATACACTACTGTGAGTATGTTTTCTATATTGACAATCCTGAAAAATAAGTGAGTGGAGTATCATTTTTCTGAGAACAAAATTCATTACATTTAAAGAGCTCTAAACCTTTTAGATTGAAGGTCAATATTTCCTTTTATTATTTTTTACAGAGTGATCACCGAGTAAGGCTTGGTTCACACTGCTGCAACCCTATTGTCGTGTGCTTTCTATTGTCACATGAAAAGTCACATGAAGTTGCATCAAAGTAGTACAGAAACCTTAGTAAAAGTGGCTTTGACTTAAGTTGCATTGATTGCAACAGCCACAGTTGAAAAAATGGGTTTTCAATTTTAATGCGACTTTATGTATCACAGGTTGCATGCAAAGTCGCAGGAGTGTGAACCGGGCTAAAGTGTGATTCATTACACAATGGTGTTTATCACAACGTGGAACAAAAGAATTCTACAAACAGATGGATACTTTGTTTAATTTTATATATTTTTATTTGCTAGAGGCTTTTTTTTAATGAATTCACCCAGGTACTATGTTTAAAGAGTTCAAGCTGTGCTCCAGTCAAAAATAAAAAAAATGAAAGTCAGCAGCTACAAAAACTGTAGCTGCCAACTTTTAACCGCTAGCCTACAGGGCACTTATACCCCCTTCCTGCCCAGGCCAATTTCCAGCTTTCAGCGCTGCTGCACTTTGAATGACAATTGCGCGGTCAGGCAACACTGTACCTATATGATATTGTTATCATTTTTTTGTGACAGAGCTTTATTTTGGTGGTATTTAATCACCTCTGGGTTTTTTATTTTTTCTTAAACCAAAAACCACTGAAAATGTTGAAAAAAAAAAGTTTTTTTCTTAGTTTTTGTTATAAAATGTTGTAAATAAGTGATTTTTCTCCTTCTCTGATGTGCGCTAATGAGGCTGCACTGATGGACACTGATAGGTGGCACTGATGGGCATTGACAGGCATCACTGATGGGCACTGAAAGGCAGCACTGATACATGGCACTGATATATGGCACTGATAGGCAGCACTGACTGGCACTAATAGGCGGCACTGACTGGCACTGATAGGCGGCACTGACTGGCACTGTTAGGCGGCACGAACTGGCACTGATAGGCGGCACTGATAGGCAGCACTGACTGGCACTGATAGGCGGCACTGACTGGCACGGATAGGTGGCACTGATTGGCAGCACTGATAGGTGGTACTGATTGGCATTGATAGGTGGCACTGACTGGCACCGAGGGTGACACTGAAAGGCAGCTCAGATGGGCACTGATATGTGGCATTGATGTGCACTGATAGACACTGATATGTGCTACTGATGTGGCACTGATGGGCACTGGCACGAGGCACTGATGAGCACTGACATAAGGCACTGATGGACACTGACAGGTGGCACTGCTGGGGCTACACTGATCATCAGGGCACACTGGTCATCAGTGCCCTGATGATCAGTGTACATGTCCCCTCCGCGGAAAGCTGATTACCGGCTCTCCTCTCCTCTCGAGCTGTCAGCGTGACAGCTCGAGAGGAGAGAAATGCCGATAACCGGCATTTCCCTGTTTACATGTGATCAGCTGTGATTGGACACAGCTGATCACATGACCGAGCCGACATCTTCGGCTCTTTTCGTGATCGGTGATCCACTGTGTCCAAGGGACACAGCGCACCGCCGATCGCCGCGCGTGCGCAGTGAGAACGAGAGAACCACCTTGCGCCCGTCATATTACTATATGGCGGGTGGGAGGTGGTTAAAATATAGCCTGTCCTACGATCCAGCAGTGTACTCACTGCAGCCAGGTTCACCGACTGTCCTCGTTCCCTGGCGCTGGCATGCTAAGTGTGGGCACCCAACTGTGATAGCTTGCAGCTTCACAGCCGGGTGCCTACTACGCATGTGCGAGTAGCGCTGCACTTTGTGTTTGGTCCTGTAGTCTTCTGGGACCTGTCACGTGTCCCAGAAGGCTACGGGGAGGGAGGACAACTTCTGCTTCCAATAGCCTAGGTGATCGCAACAAGGAGCAGGGGACCACTTCTAAAAGCGGAACTTGTGTTTTGATGTACTCATTTGATTTACATGGTAATTTCTTTTTACACTTTTTGCACTTTATTTTGTTTAAAAAAAAGTGTGCAAAATAAATTGTGTCCATTTTAAGGGCATCCACAAAAAGATTCAAAATAATCAAACTGAAACCTTTAAACTAGTTCTACATAGGACAAACCTACAGCTAAGCTGTTTTTCCAGGCTCTGTAGTAACATCAAAGTATAAACTGATAGCAAAAAGGTTTTTTTGATACATTTAAAGACAAACAGTGTGTCATCTATTTTGTTTGTAGGAGCGTGATGATATAAAGGTCAGAAGAAAAAAAAATCAGAAAATCTGCCCTGGATACAAGAATATTTTGTAGGTAGGGCTCTTTCCTTCAACTGATATTTTAAGATTTGGGTCATCAATGTAAGATTTACAACACGAGGTGTAGAGAAGCATATTCTACTAACAGCAGTGAAGGGAAGGATGTCCCTATTTTTGGCCTATTATGAAAGGGACCATGCGGTAAAAACTAAAAGGCCATATTTCTTAGAAGACTTTGGCAATGTGGACTGTAATTATGGCCTAATAGAACATTTCAATGCCCTGCCTGTTGCTATTGTACATATAGCCTGAAGTGCAATGGTGGGAATACCTCTATATATACCTATGATGTGCCCCTGCATTCATGGGTAAGATATGCTGCTGACCTGACTATCTACCTCTTATGTTGTATGCTCACATTTAGGGCCGTGGATAATGGGGTACCACCAGTCCATCTGTACGGGGCTCAGGCCAGCAGGGGGGCCCAGGTAGCTGGGTGAATCGGATGTGGGCAAGGAGGGTCATCGGCATGGTGGGGGGGGACAATTACTGGAACCAACCCCTGTATGGATCTCTTCAGCAGCTGAAAGCTGACTTCTTCTCCTTTCCCTTCTGCTGGCTTTCAGCTGCTGCAGAGAGAGCCATACAAGGGATCAGTTCCATTAATTGCTCCCCTGCTGCACCCATCACCCTACGCTTCCCCCGGGCCTTGTGAGTTTAGTAACACTTTAAAGGAGAGATAGGGTACCTCCAAAGCATACCTGCTCTAAGTGTATTTATTGCTATATATATATGTCACTAATTGGGAGGTCAGATAGTTTGAAGTTATGGGCCATACTTTGCAGAATTTCCTTGAAATGACAGGGTGCAACAAAAGTATCAATTTTAATGTAAAATGTTACATCAGTTTAAAATAGTCTCCCTGTGCTGACTAGCTGGAAAGTGTGTTGAGGAATTTTTGCTCCCCTGTCATCCATTTTCAACTTTTTCCCACTTCAGGAAGACATTCTCTTTTCAATTTTGGTTGTATCTTTAAATTACGGTTAAAGTTTCTACACCAATTAATCTTCAAAACAATGGCATTACCCCCATGCTTCTGTGCATCACAGTACACTGCTCAAAAAAAAATTAAAGGAACACTTTGAAAACACATCAGATCTCAATGGGGGGAAATCTCATGCTGGATATCTATACTGATATGGACTGGGTAATGTGTTAGGAATGTAAGGATGCCCCATCATTTGATGGAAATGAAAATTATCAACCTACAGAGGACTGAATTCAAAGACACCCCGAAAATCAAAGTGAAAAAATGATGCAGCAGGCTAGTCCATTTTGCTGAAATTTAATTGCAGCAACTCAGAATGGTACTCAGTAGTTTGTATGGCCCCCACGTGTTTGTATGCATGCCTGACAACATCGGGCCATGCTCCTGATGAGACGACAGATGGTATCCTGGGGTATTTGCTCCCAGATCTGGACCAGGGCATCACTGAGCTCTTGGACAGTCTGAGGTGCAACCTGGCAGCGTCGGATGGACCAAAACATGATATAATCAAGGTGCTCTATTGGATTTAGGCCAGGCGAGCGTGGGGGCCATTCAATGGTATCAATTCCTTCATCCTCCAGGAACTGCTTGCATACTCTTACCACATAAGGCCGGGCATTGTCATGCACCAGGAGGAACCCAGGACCCACTGCACCAGCATAGGGTCTGAGAATGGGTCCAAGGATTTCATCACGCTACCTAATGGCAATCAAGGTGCCATTGTCTACTCTGTAGAGGTCTGTGCGTCCCTCAATGGATATGCCTCCCCAGACCATCACTGACCCATCAACAATACAGTCAAGCTGAACGATGTAACAGCCACCATAACATTCTCCACAGCTTCTCTAGAAACTTTCACGTCTGTCACATGTGCTCAAGGTGAACCTGCTCTCATTTGTGAAAAGCACAGGGCACCAGTGGCAGACCTGCCAATTCTGGTGTTCAATGGCAAATGCCAATCGAGCTCTATGGTGCCGGGCAATGAGTACAGGGCCACTAGAGGATGTTGGGCCCTCAGACCCCCCTCATGATGTCTGTTTCTGATTATTTGGTCAGAGACATTCACACCAGTGGCCTGCTGGAAGTAATTTTGTAGGGCTTTGGCAGTGCTCATCCTGTTCCTCCTTGCACAAAAGAGCAGATATTGGTCTTGCTGATGGGTCAAGGACCTTCTATGGCCCTGTCCAGCTTTCCTAGAGTAACTGCCTGTCTCCTGGAATCTCCTCCATGCTCTTGAGACTGTGCTGGGAAACACAGCAAACCTTCTGGCAATGGAACATACTGATGTGCCATCCTGGAGGAGTTGGACTGCCTGTGCAACCTATATAGGGTACAGGTATCACCTCATGCTACTACTAGTGACACTGACCCTAGCCAAATGCAAAACTAGTGAAAAACAGTCAGAAAAGATGAGTAGGGAAAAAAATGTCAGTGGCCTCCACCTGTAAAACCATTCCTGTTTTGGGGGTCATCTCATTGTTGCCCGTCTAGTGCACCTGTTGTTCATTTCATTAACACCAAAGCAGCAGAAACTGATTAACAACCCCCTCTGCTACTTAACTGACCAGATCAATATTCTAGGTGTTTAATTGACTTGATGCTATACTCTGATTAAAAAGTGTTCCTTTAATTTTTTTGAGCAGTGTACTACAGTATTTCAGAGCATTCAAGAATGGTGTCTGGCAATAATAATGTGAAAAATGCATTTTTTAAAAATGAATTGCATCACTCTGAATTAGGATACTGAGTTAACCTGTCAGTCAAAAATAGGTAAACAATATAACATTTAGCAAAATAAGTAACTGAATTTCATTTGCAAGTGTATAGTAGTGTTAATTGTTTTTGATTACAGTAATCTGCCAAAATTCCGACAATGATGTGTAAAATATATGCTTACATCCTATGTTTTTAAGCAGGTTTTTTTTTTTTTACCTTCAGCATAATGTACAGCAACATCAAGGTGTTATTGCTATAGAAAGTTAATAATATGGCAGTTATAATGCTGCCTATCTAATTTACATTATGCCATCTAAATGTTCTTTTCATACATGTCATTTAGGCTTTAGATATGTAAATTAAAATGCTTACTCTAAAGGTAAAACATTCACTTTCTACATAATAAATATGTTTTATAATAATAAAAAAGCCTCAGGGTTGTTCAAAGAATCTGTAGATAGTGCACATATTAGAATTTAGTTTCAAATTACATTTCCTGAAAACTGAAGACAAAATAAATGCATGCATGCATACAGAAATTATAGTGTATTTTCAGTTAGCACATATTTTAATAATTATTGTAACATTTACCTGAAGTATTTTGAAGCTGGTTCATATGTTCACGTTTGCTGTTCCATATTTTGGTGATTGCATTTCACATTCATATTTAGAGATTCTTAGGGAGTTATAACCCAACCCAACCTGTCCTTGGTTTGGCGAACAAGTTAACAATATTTGGTTAGTTTAGCCACATGAACCTCTGGTTCTGCTGTTAGACATGTGCAGAATGAAAAAAATTGTTTTGTTACGGATCGTTTTGTTAAGTTACTAATTTTGTTTCATTGCATTCCTAACAAAATTCGTTTAGTTTAGCTTTGTCTATTCAATTTCAACCTGATTCAGACTTTTCCAATGGATTTAAAGTGTTCGAATCGAATTTGAATCTAAAATTCTGAAGATGGTTATATTATTTCTATTCTATTTTTTCTATTCTGTGCTAATCTATTCTTTTATTTTCTATTCTGTTTTTTTCTATTCTATTCTTTTATTTTCTATTCTTTTCCTCTATTTTCTATCCTATTTTATTCTATTATTTTATATTCTATTCTGCTCTGTTTTATTATATTTTTATTCTGTTTATTCTGTTCTAATCTTTTCAAAATTCAAATTTCAGAAGACAGCTATATTCCTTTTTTTATTTTAGTTTATTCTAAACTGAAGTTTATTCTATTTTTTCCATTCAATTCTTTTATTTTCTATTATATTATTTTGTATTCTATTCTATGCTGTTCTATTATTTTCTATTCTATTCCTATATTTTCTATTCAATTTTATTCTGTTCTTTTTTATTCTATTCTATTGTTTTCTTTTTTTCTCTATTTTATTTTATTTTGTTTGATACTATTCTTTTCTAAATTTGCATTTCAGAAGATGTCTATATTCTAACACTAATACACATAGGGGAAAGTGTTTTATGACCTGTTTTACTTGGCAGGTCCATCATTTGAGGTGAGCACATTGGTGAATGGTG